TTACAGATTAATCAACAGCTATGATTTGCGTGATGGTTTTTAAAAGATCACCAAATAAAAATAATGAATTTCTTCAAAAATATGTAAAAAATGGTTTTCGAAAAAACCTTAATTTAATCAAAGATTGTAAAACAAGATGGAACAGTTTACTATCAATGCTTGAAAGTCTTCATAAGTTAAAAAATTGCATAAAAAGGGTGCTTGTTGATATCAGTATAAATGGCTCAATAAAAATGTTATGTATAAAAATGATAATGAGTATGAAATTGTTTCTGAACTTGTAAACGCGCTAATTTCAGTAAAAGCGCTTTGTCGACGCGATGCAAACTTTATAACTGCTGACGTTAGAGTTTATGCTAATTAAATTTAAAAAAAACTGAATACTGCAACAGGTTGTCAACTTTTTAATGTATTAGCCTCCAGAATCAAAGAGCGAAGACCCAAATACCGGGAATAAAAATTTTCCGAATTTTTGCAAACCCTAATGCAAATATGCCTAAGGTAAATATAGGGGAAGTGGGGGCATAACCGCATATGGAGGCACAACCATTTTTTAACATTTCTCTTCAAAAAATGTTATCTAATATGGCAAAAAACATACTACGCGTTAGTAAAACAGTTTCCTTCATTTTGCATATGTCAAAAAGAGTGACTGTTAAGTTTCTGAGAAGTTGTGAATAATAATTTTTATTTTGATAAAAATATTATATTTACATCATATTTTTCCTGACCTTCTTTTTGAGAATTAAGCAATATTTAATTTTAGTGTTAAAAATATGTGTTATCAGCATTATTTCATGAAGTGAAAGTCATTTTTTATAATACCATAATCTAATAATTAATCTATGAAACTGAATTCTTTCTAAAAACTCTCTTCTGGGGTAGAACTCTCTTCTGGGGCAGAACTCAAAATGTAAACACAAAGAATGCCTGCACAATATGCAAACATGCAACAAAATTATCAAATAATCTGAGCTGTAAATATTGTAAAAAAAATGTACCATGAAAGGTGTAGCCCCATCGATTTTTTTGAGGGTGCGGTTGTGCCTCACAATGGGGGCAAAACCGTTTTTATCACTAAGTGTAATTTTTGTGTAATAATATTTTCAAAATCTGTTTAATTTTTTTCTTAAATGCATCAATTTAAAGCTTAATGATGTAGTTATTGAAAAAACTGCTAAAAAAACACATTTCGTTTTTATTTTCATATAACATTATTCCAAACGTTACGGGGGCGGTTATGCCCCCACTTCCCCTATGTGTTTATGGTGAGTAAAAAAAGCTTTTTTATGTTAAAGTTTTTAAAGGCAATTTGTTGGAGAATATAAAAAATTGAACCCAAAACATTTCTTTTATATCATGTTAAAGCCAATTTTTCAGAAAAACTCCAACAAGCTTAAAAAAAAGTTAAATAAGGTAAAGAAACATTGACACATCTTAAGAAAATGTTTTTTTTTTAGGTTTGACAAACTAAATTTGGTATGCAATATTTCAATGTGTTTACCAATGATATTGCTTCTATAACCTGATGAAGAACTTAATTAATTATCTAATATTATTGATAGATAATCAATTTTTTTGTTGGGACTCAACTGTCAAAATTACACCCTCTATAAGGTCTCTATAAGGTAAAGTGTTGTATTATTGACTCATTTTTAGAAAATATACTTTTTCTCTTGTGGCAAAAATTTTACGTGTTTACCATCGATATTGCTGCCTTGAAAAAAACTAGAAAATAGTTAAATTTATGCTTGCCGTATTGTGTTGTTAATTATACTTACTATTATGTGGATTAAAATAGTTATATTTCTTCATTCAACATCTGACTTTAGCTGTTAAAATTATTTAAACAATAGTCAATTTTGACTATTGTTTAAATTATTTATACAAGTCTAAAATGGTACGTTTTACAACGTCCAAAAACGTCCAAGTCCAAAATAGTACGCCTATTAATGGACATCCCAGGACGTACTATTTTGGACTTGCACGTTTTGGACGTCCCTAGACGTACCATTTTGGACTTGGACAAGTAGACCTAAACGGTAAGTCCTTTGGACGTCTAAGAACGTTCTGTGCTCATTGGGTTTGTTAAACCAAGATTGATTTTGTGTGAGCAGCGGATAATATTTTTAAGAATGGCACCAATGGATTGTTTAAACTAACAAACCAACTATTCAACCAACTATTAAACTAACAAACCAACTATTCAACTAACTATTTAATAAACTAATTAACGAAATAAATAATCTAAATATATAACGAACTAACTAATTAACTAACAAAAATTTTGTTATCATTTCGTAATTTGTATTATTTTTACTGCGCCATTGTTACCGAGTTACCGAATCAGGAAATCAGAGAGCCAGTATCCTGTATGTTTACACATTCTGGTCACTGAACTCAGTGATTTTATGTGTTAATGAATGTATAAAAATTCATATTAGCGTCCGAAAGTTTGCGGACAGACTTAAAAAGTTAATTTTTAACAATATTTAAGCACATACACAAGTTGAGTCATTATATTATATACTAATTAATGGGTTTTCTGGTTAACTATTATGTTTTGAGCAAATAATGATTATATAATTAAATATTAAAAATTGGTTTACAATATTACGATTTTTGAAAAGTTCAAAAGTTTGCGAACAAACTAAAGGTTTTAACATTTTCCCCACAAAATTGCTAATTTGTTGATTTCGTAAACAAATACTTTGTGGAAATAATTTACAAACTTTATTTATTAGTGATTAAGATCGTGGGATCTAAGAAATGTATTTTATCTCCAGTAAAAAAATTGATCTTGAGATCAGTTCAAAATGGAATTTTGTTTTGTAAAACAACACAGCTTTACAGAGTAGGTAAGTCTGCTGAAAGACAAATTATGAAGATATATGAGCTAGATCTACAAGGAGTAAAAATCATTTAAAAAGCAACGCAAAACAATGCATTATCAGGATAAAAAGCTCGTGAAACTAAGTAAAGAAAATTACTTAGTACCGTTTGACTGCTGTTGATATAAACGTACAAATGAGACGTTTCTATGGAATGAATTGTAGTATTTCTACCATAAAACGTCGTTTACGCCACGCTAATTTATTTGGAAGACGCCCAGCTAAAAAGCCATTAATTCCTTGAAAAACCGTAACGCCCGAATGGAATATGCATCAGAGCGAGGATTGATATACAAACAAGATAACGATCCTAAACATGCTGCCATATCGGTTTTAGAATTTTTCAAAAAGAATAAAGTTTATGTTTCGAAGTGGACGTGACATTAATCCAATTGAATCTCTATGGAAACATGTTTAACTTCTAATAAAAAGAATCAAGCCTACAAATCGTCCTGATTTATTTTATAAAATCAAAGAAATATTGAACTCTATTCCCAATGACGTTTATATTCATTTAGTTTACTATATGTTTCACAGATGTCAAGCCAATCTTGATTGTAAAGGATATCCTACAAAATACTAATGTGATTTTGCTTTTATATAAATTTGTGATCAAATATTGTTGAAAGATTTGTACTAATTAAAAAAAGGCTTTGTCCACAAATTTTTGAACATATCAAAAGTCTTTGATTTGTATATATATATATATATATATATATATATATATATATATATATATATATATATATATATATATATATATTATATATATATATATATATATATATATATATATATATATATATATATATATATATATATATATATATATATATATATATATATATTTATGTTAGGGTGGGTCGAAAAATAACATTTAAAAAAAATAGTTTTTGATTAAAAATTATTTTATGGGATGCCTCAGACCCTTGAACATCTAACAAGTCCCTAATAACAATAAGTTTTTTTTTTTCAAAAGTATGTCGTGTTGGGTCTAAAATAAAGCATAAAATAATTCATAAAATATTTCAAAAATAATAAATTTTTAAAAACGTTTTAAAAAAAAAATTACAATCAAAAACTCGTTTGAAATATCAGTTTTTTGTTTTCAGCTAAAATGTTTCATTGCTGTTTGAGTAAAATTAAATAATATTTCTTTTATAAAATGATTGTTATAAAATGATTGTTATTTTTAAAATTTTAATATTATTTTGCTTCATTTTTTTAATAATATTAGAGACCAATTACATATTAAAGGGTCTTGAGGCACCCCTAAAAATACTTTTTATTCAAAAAAGTTTTAAATATAGTATTGTTTTATCTTATAGAACACATTAAGATGCATATATATATATATATATATATATATATATATATATATATATATATATATATATATATATATATATACAGAGGTAATTTTACGGGGGTGTGAAGGGGTGTTACACCTTACCCCCCCCCCCTCCTCCCTCAAAGAAGGTGATTTTCAAATTATAATCGTTTTTTTTTACTAATTTAGTCGGCAGTATGACACAATTCAGTCGGTTAAATTTTCGTTTTGAAGACCTTTTTTTTAATTTTTATTCGTAGAATTGCCTCTGTATATATATATGTATATGTATGTGTACATATATATATATATATATATATGTGTGTGTGTGTGTGTGTGTGTGTGTGTGTGTGTGTGTGTGTGTGTGTGTGTGTGTGTGTGTGTGTGTGTATACTATATATTTGCACAAACTAATTACTGATTACATTAGCAAGTTGATTAATTAGTTAAAACATATTACAAATAATAATATATAATACAAAATACAAATAATAATATTACAAATTAACAATTAGTTAAAGTTTTAAAAAAACGAAAAAAATAGATCTTTATACGAATGCCTAGACTGTTTCTTCGTATAAAATGTTGCTAAACATATTGCAAAAGTTACGCATCAGTTTCTTTCTTTAGTTTTACTTTATTTTTGATATCACGTGAAAAATATGAATAATATATTGAATCAAATAATTTAAAATTCGTAGTATATACAAGAAACTCTGCATGTCTACTGAATCATTCAAGCAGAATTACACACGATTTTTTTTCAAATCGCTTGTGAGAAGCTTTTTAATACTTTTATTAGATTTAAAGATCTTATTTGTTATGTCATCTTCGTTGCTACAGTATTTAGAGGATTTAAAAGATGAAGAAAATTCGTCTGACACTTCTTCATCTAAAAGTACAACATTCACTTCAATAAATAAATCAATTAGGCAGTTTGCGTCTCCAATTTCAGTAAATAAACAGACGGATTCTAAAGTTTTGAAAAAAAGTGATGTTACCGATAATGAACCTATTGAAGCGCAACAACTTGAAAACTACCTTCCGGTAGATAACTATGATGTAAGTTTTTGCTATTTTATCTAAAACAGCTTTTTACAAGTTAATGAAACTTTTTTTTAAAAATTTACTGAACTTTTTATTTATTTTTGTATTACACACTTAAAATCTGAAGTAAAATTTACTGCTACTTCTAATGCTTTATTTTTTTAAGCACCAAATCTTATGGTGCGTGAAAATAAAAATAAAAAACTTTTAGATTGGCTAAAAAGTAATAAGTTGGCTAAAAATAAAATATAAAAGTAAAAAATAAAAACGGGTTAAGAGTAATAACTTTTTCAAAACTTATTATATATTTCTTGAAGTTTCAAGAAGTTTCCATGATTTAAGTATATAAGGAGTGACGTAAAACGGCCTATCAGGCCAAATAGAATTTTTCCTTCATATTTAAAAAAATAAATCTCTAAGATTATGTCCAGTAGACAAAATTTCACGGATTTTATGCATTATATTAACATGAGACAAATAAGAATACGTTGGTTTTAACGCTTTCTAATACTAGGATATTTTTTCTTTACTAAAAAATGGATACGATGTTTATTCTTAAAAATTTAGTATAAACGTAGTAGTATATTGCAATATTTATATTTTTTAAAACAAACTGAAATTTTTTCCCAAATATATATACTTTCCTTAGTTTTTTTTATCAATATTTGATCTTCATTTAAGCAGAAGTTTCTTTTTTCCACACTAATCCTCTCACCCGCGTCCAATTTCCACATTATTACTCTCACCAGTGTTCTCAAAAAATGTTATATAACATCTGTTCCTCGTAACTTTAAGTATTAGATTGAAAATAGTATTGGGAAAATTTATGTAATTATTATTTGGATTTAGCAACCATATTTCCTTGTCCCAAAAATTTGCCTAACTAACTCTCCCCTTCCCTATAATGATATTTATAAAAGTCCTAACTCTTTCCTGCTACTCTACTTACTATAGCTAATCGTGAAGTAAAGAAATTGAAGAGTTTTACTAAATGAAGATTTATACGTAAAAAAAAAATTATAGGCCAAAAACTTTTGATGAAAATAAAATCTACCAAAGACTTTTGATGAAAATAAAGACTACCAAAGACTTTTGATGAAAATAAAGACTACTAAAGGCTTTTGATGAAAATAAAGTTATAGACTACCAAAGACTTTGGATGAAAATAAAAATTGAAAATTACTAAAAATCAATTTTTGCGTACTTTTGATGAATATTATTAGTTTGAAAACCTGCCTTCCTATTATATATATTTTATCATTTTTAAATAGTCTTTTAATTAGGTCTTAACTAGCTAATGTATAATAATGAAATGAAATAATCATTGGCAAGTATAAATTTATTCTAATTTCAAGTTTGAAAATGCGTTTGACACCATATAGTCAATAATCCAAAAATATTTCTCAATCATTGAATTCATAAAAACTAACTTTTATTGTAAATCTAAGGCTTAAGCAATTATGAGGTCATATATATTTAGATTTTGAGACTAACCCCTTAATATCTAATAAGTATGATTTTATTTTTAGATACTATACTAGATGAATAATTACAATAATACAAAAATAATAATTATAATAATAATAAAAGTAGTAATAATAATAACAATAATAATAATAATAATAATAATAATAATAATAATAATAATAATAATAACAATAATAATAATAATAATAATAATAATAATAATAATAATAATAATGGAGCACTCATGGCATTAGGTGAAAAGGAATATCAAAAATGACTTAAATTCAATTTTATGTTATATATATATATATATATTATAAAGCTTAAGCTTTATTTTAATTAGAATACGACAGCTATTAAATTGTTTAAATAATCATCAAAAATTAAAAAGATCTTTATTCGCTTAGTTAGGGAGGAGAGAACAAATTGCGGTCTTGCTGTTTTAGATTGTCTAGGCTGAGATATAGAGTATTCAAAAATTTTTAAGAAATGAATTATTAAAATCAGCATTTATTAATTTTTTACACAAGTTTGCCTACCGAACTTATATAACTAAGGCAGCTCCTCCAAATTGAAAATCTATAAAAATAAAAGTTTATTCAAAGTTTTTTCAATTATTCTGAAATTTCAACTTACATGACAAAAATAAATAAATTAAAAAACGCAATAAAAATTTATATTTTTGTATTTGCTTAAGTTATCTATTTATATTTAACAAAGTTATTAAACAATTATGTTGATAATATTATTGTAATATGGGATTTAAAAACAGGTATTAGAAGTCAAGAGCAGTAAAAACGTAAAAACGTTTTTAAACGCTAAGAGATGTATAGAATTCAAAATTATTTGATAAATATAAACTTAGTTGAGAATATTGAAGAACAGGGAGAATATTGACAGGGCTCCTGGTAAAACACCACCATTTGTACATGGTAAAACACCACCTTTTACATTGAACAAAGTACGTCATTTAAAATCCACATAAATTAGCTTTTAATCAAAAGTTTTTAAAAATTTTTGAATCTTTTAACAAAAATTATGATTGTAGCTGTACAATTTTCAAACTGTACAGCTGCAATCAGAGCCTTTCACAACTAAGAAAATAAAAATTTGTTTATAAATTTTGTCTCACTTTCTACAAACCGTATTGGAATATATATTTTTAGCTTCAAAATCAACTATAAAGGAATATGGAAAGAATGGTCGAGACAAAGGTAGATTTATAGGGGAGGAGGGGAGCGATACGGACAATCGTTAAAATTGTTTATTTGTAAAGTTTTTAGCCATGCATCGCAAAAGTGGTGCGATGCATGGCTAAAAACTTTACAAATAAACGATTATGAACTGTTAATAAATGTAAACCTTTAATGGGTAAAGAACATCTTACTGATAAAGTAATTAAGATACTACAAAACTACTATGGCTTTAGGTTACGTCGAAAGAAAGAGAAGATTTACATTCTTTATAAAAAGCCAAATAACATTTTCCTTTTATAAAAATGATGGCTCAAAACTGCTGTCACATATTTTGAACTAGTATTGTATAATGAAAGTTTACTTTAAAGAAAAAAACAGTCAAAGTACGAAGAATAAAACTAAGATAATGGCGGAAGTGTATTATAGTATTCCCTTTAGTAAGTTCTTAAAAAACGCGTCTTATGCAAAACAAATGTTGTTAAAAACTATACCGTTTTTTACGGACTTACTAAAGAGGGTGTCTGAAACACACTTCTGCCAAGATAAAGACTTCATTGCTGAATTAACAGAAAATTATACTGAATTTTATGCATGTGGTTCTTTTACTTAAATATTAAACTGTTTTTAAGCCTTTTTAATTTAATTTGTGTTTTTCTTAACTAAAATATTTTATACCTTCTAACAAATAATATTTGGTTTGTTCATCAATAAAAATACTTTACATATTGTTATTAATAATATATAAAATACTATTATATATTAAAAAATGCAAACAATACTTTTTATTCAAAGCTTTGCAAAAGGATAAAATTTAAAGGCTGACGTTTCAATCCCCTTATCTGGGCTGAAAATGTTCCTCGTTTGACAGCTCTAATACTTAAATATTAAAATTTTTAATTATACAATGCTCTAGCTGAGTTTTATCCGCATAAATACCCTAGCTCCTTCTTTAGTACCGAGCCAGAATTTTTAGTCTTTCTATATTTCATTAAAACTAAAGAAAAATGAGAGCGTTGAAGATTTCGTTGAAATAAAAGTAATGAAATTTCAAATTTCGTAAAGTTTGTCGAAATAAAAATTCTTAATGGAACTTAACGACAATTCAATGTTGACAAGCCGAAGCAACAATGATTTCAATCATGACAAACCAAAGCAGTGCGATAATGTTAGAAGAGCTTTGGATAACAGTTACTGTCATAAGCCAATTTGTTTTGAACCTGTTAGTCAAATAAAAACGTATTTTCCAATTAAAATAAAATTGACATGTCTAACTAAATTAAGTAAAAAAACAGAAAAATTAGAATTACCGACATAATCTAATATATAGTATATATATTAGATTATTACAATAGATTATTAGCGATTTGACAGCAAAGTTTGCTAGCTAGTAAAGCTAACAAACTGTTAACATTAAATATTATATTACAGATAATTTACTAATAATATAAGATTTAATGTTAACGCCGTTAACATGTTACAGCCATCAGCAAATTTGATTTCAACCTGTTAGCCAAAATGAATCATACAATCAAAATAAAATTAATATTTCTAACGTCAGAATATTTCATTAGCTTTCTCAGGAGTTGATACAGCATTTTTAGTTGTTTGTAGATATCTACCTCCCAAACATGAAGTAAACTCCAAACAATTATATGTTTATAGTTATGTCAAATAAGGATGTTTTGAACAAAATTACAATAGTTATAGCCTGGGGACAAATAAGGCTGTAAACCTTTCTGATTAGTTTTCCCAAACGTGAGAGCAACAACCCGTATAGCAAACAATATTGGCGCGATATTGTTTATATACTTTAGATATTGTAAACAAAAATGCTCCAATTGTTAGCTACTCGGGGAGTTGATAAAATATTTTTTTACAATTTTTAACTAAGTTTATATTTGTTAAATAATTTTAAAATTCATGCAATAATTTCTTAGCGTTCAAAAGTTATGACTATATAATTTCATATATCAACTTGTTGCATTTACGTGGGGAAGTTAAAACCAAAACTTTAGGGGTTTTTTGTTCCCAAACTCCATTCATCACAATTTTTTGCAAAGCATCTTTTTTTGGCATGATTATAAACATATGTTTAGAGTTTGCTTCATGCCTGGAGGTTCTCAATCATCAAAAATGCTGCATTCTCCTCTCTCTCTTTAAATTTATATATATATATATATATATATATATATATATATATATATATATATATATATATATATATATATATATATATATATATATATATATATATATATATATATATATGATTAAATATATATATATATATATATATATATATATATATATATATATATATATATATATATATATATATATATATATATATAT